CTTATGTTGCGCTGGGTATTGAACCCAGGGCTCTGTGCAGGCAGACAATCATTCTACCAGCTGAACTAGATCTCTAGCCCTAAAGTGGCTTTATCATTGTTGCGTTGAGAGTCTTACACTGTAGCCCAGGTTTACCTGGAACTCCTGGTGATCCTCCTGCCTCAGCCTTCTAAGTGCTGAAGGCACCGTTTCACCCAACTGACCCTGTTCTGTGAGATTCTTATGAGCATGTGTCTTTTTACCTTTGGAACGAAAATTCTGAAACACTAACACTTCCCTTCCCTTCTCTTAGTCTCCGCAAATACGTACATAAGACAAGAATGTTAAGTTGGAGATACCAGTACATCCACTGATGTCCAGATTTGAGATGGCCATCGGCGGTCACCCTGACCTGAGAACATGGAGTACAATTCTCTAAGGAGAAACAGTTGTCTTTATTTTTCCTTTTACCACCAAATAAGCTGCTTCTTACAGCAGCCCCAGTGGACCAAGGGCCAACTGCGGCCAAAGACAAGGAACCTGGGACATGAACAAGGGAGATAAGCTGTTAAGTTCCCATTCCTGCTATTACTGGTAGAATTCCAACAGGAACATGTAAGGCCACATGCAAGAAGCTGACAGCCTCATTTGAATGGTGGACACACCCTCTCTTGCCCCCAGTTCTACTTTTCTTTCATGTTAAGGTTTTATTTAGTTTTATTTTACAAGTATGGGTATTTTCCTTGAAGGAATATCTGTGTGTCACAGGTGTACAATGCCTGTAGGAGCCAGAAGTCACATTCTCCAGAACTGGAGGTACACAAGGTTGTGAGCTGCCATGTGGGTTCTGGGAACCAAACCTAGGTCTTCTGCAAGAGAAACAAGTGCTCTTAATTAGTGAGCCATTTCCCAGCCCAGCCCATTTCCACCTTTCTAAGGTCAAAAGGTCACCCTGGACCTGGGCTTTATATCCATCAGACTAGAACCTGTCTGTGTTCAATGCTGCTGCAGCCACCAAGACCTCACCTCAGCGGTGCGCCTTTCTCTTTGGGGCTCTGGGAGCCCTCACCTCCGTGACATGCCTAGGAGATACACAGTGGGAAAAGTGCTCACTGTACAAGCATGGAGCCTAAGTTCAGATATCAGCATCTACCGAAAAGACCAGACATAGTTGCACATGCCTGTAACTCCAGCACTGAGGAGGGGGGAGACAGGAGGATCCCTGGAGCTCACTGGTCACACAGTCTAGCCCAAACAGCAAGCTGCAGGTTCATTGCGTGAGCCAGTCTCCAAAAACTAGGGTGGAGAGTGATAGGAGTCTCTGCATATGCACACACAGGCATGTCCACCTGTGTGTACATATACATACACACAGACACATACACACATGCACACACAGGCATGTCCACCTGTGTGTACATATACATACACACACACACATACACACATACACACACACACATACATACATACATGCAAACACAGGCATGTCCACCTGTGTGTACATATACATACACACACACACATACACACATACACACACACACATACATACATACATGCAAACACAGGCATGTCCACCTGTGTGTACATATACATACACACACACATACATACACACATGCACACACAGGCATGTCCACCTATATACATATACACACATACACACACGCACACACATACACACATGCACATACAGGCATGTCCACCTGTGTGTACATACACACACACACACACACACATGCACACACACACACAATGCACACACAGGCATGTCCACCTGTATGTACATACACACACACACACACACACACACACACACACACATGCACACACCACACACACAAATGATTTTCCATACCCTTCTTCCCTTTCAGTGCCCTATCTACCAATGGGAAGCCATATTAACATCATTTCCAAATGTATGTTTCAGGTCCTGAAAGGCTAAAGTGACATGGAAGTTGGGAGCATCCCCTTTGCAGCATGAGCCCTGTGGCTCTGTAAATGCAGGGGTGCAGGGGTGCAGCACGCTAGTTAAGGTGGCCACTCTAGAAGCAGACGTGAGTTCTAATCGCTAGCTGTGTGGTCTTGGATGAGGAAATCCATCTCTTGGCAACCTTCGCAGCCAGTTTCTTCGTCTACAGGATGAGCATCACAGAGGTCATTGTGAGGAGTACACAGCACCTCAAACACACGGCTGTCCTATAAAACTTAGCACTTCTAAATTATTCCACCTGCTGCTCATGTTATCACCACCATTGTTATTGGCCACAGCAAGACATTCCCACACAAACCCTGCTTGCATCTTTTTGGATGCTGCTGTGTTTAATAACGTAACTCATTGACTGATTGATTTGAGCTGATACAATGTATCCTATAGTCCAGGCTGGCCTTGAATATGTAGCTGGTGGAGAACAAATACAAACACAATTGCCTGCACACTCAGTACACCAGGGGTTATCACCAAATTCTTCCACAAAAATGATAAATATCTCCTTCTCCAAGAGAGTGCAAGGCTATGTCTCTAGGTCACACAGCTGTTTCATTCTGATGCCCAGCTGCCGCAAACAAAACTAAAACTTGAGAGAGAGTCTGCGTGTCTACCTCTCTAACTCTCTAACCTTCCTTTGAAAGTGGGAAAACGTGATACCAAGTGTAAGGTCCTCGCCTGCTGCTGGGTGGGCTGGCGGCAATACGTCCAAGCTGTTATCTTTCAGTGAGAGTGGGGTGTGGAAACCTAGAATCCCTGGGAAGAGAGGTTTGAGGGAGAAACTGAGGCTGCTTGCTTATGGAGGTTGGCGACTCTTTGCCTAGGAGCCTTGCCTTTTCACTTGGCCTTACACGAGTCAAAAGGCCAGCAGAAAGGCACAGCATATGTGCCAGCAAGGGCAGGCTGTCCCCTCAAGAGCCCACCCACGCAGTCCTATACTGCTGTAGAAGCCATGGATCCTTCAAGCACTGTCACATTGAGTCTGAAAAGTCAGAGCCCGGAACATGGAGGCTGTGGCATTTCTCTGGTGGGAAATAAAGTTGAGAAAATAAATAATAATAGTGTCAACTCATGGGTCTCTTAGGCAGCACCTACAGAGTGCCCACCACAACCAAAGGCATCATTGTACCCCAGACTGGATCACTGTGGGATCCAGGGAGACACGACTGAATCAGGGGACACCTGCCAGGACAAAAGCACTCTGTGAAAAGCACTCTGAGGAAGGCCAGGGCTTGCCTGAACTGAGCAGCGACAAACCACTCTCACCCAGTACTTCAGGACCTGTGAAGGCATTTTCATGTGCAGAACGGAAAACAAGCTGTCAAAAACACTCCTTGAGAAGGACACGGTCCACCTCCCCCTCATTTGACAGGATGTTTCTGATACAGGTCAGGCTATTACCAACGTGGGTAAGACATAAAATAACCAGAACAGAGTATGATTTGTGCCCTAGTACAAAGGCGAGGAACAGACACATTGCTCGCTGGTCACCACGCAAACCAGCCTACCAGGAAGCCACTGGAGGGCAGACCTATGAGTTCTAGGCAATGGAAGGTATGGAACCCAGTTACTTACAGAGCTGCCTCACCACCTCGGGCTACAGTGCTGGATGGGGTTTCACTTCCCCTGGGAAATGTGAGGTGTGCAGATGCGTCGGCTGGAAACCAGCGTCCACACGACAGCACAACCTGCCACGGATACCACCTGGCTTTTCAGACATCAGGAGAACATCAGGACAGCCTGGGCAAAATTCTGGGTGGTATGGTTGCTATCATGTAGGCATGACTGGTGGCCAAGCACACGGATGATTGGGCAGGGTACAAAGAACACACATCACGGATGGCATACGTGGTGAGTGAAACAGCATCTACTGGCTTCTCCAAGTCTTTCCTCTGAGGGAGACCATCAAGGTCTTGAGAACCTGTGCCAGACTGACAATATCCACAGCATCCACTTCCCAGGACATGCTGTTAGGGATAATACCCAAACACATCATGACATTTTTGTCTGCCACGGAACCCTTAGGCAGCAGGCTTGGTGGAATGCTTTGTACACTGGAATAAGTATTATTCTCATTGGTTAGTAAAGAGTTGATTGGCCGACTGCTAGGCAGGATAAGGTTAAGCAGGAGCATCAGACTCAGAGAATACTGGGAAGAAGACAAAGGGCGGAGTCAGAGGAGATGCCATGAGACGCAGAGCAAGGGAAGTACATACATGAGGTAAGTGAGCCTGGGGCAGCACATAGATTAATAGAAATGGGTTAATTTAAGTTATAAGAGCTAGCTCTAGGGCTGGAGAGATGGCTCAGCGGTTAAGAGCACTGACTGCTCTTCCAGAGGTCCTGAGTTCAATTCCCGGCAACCACATGGTGGCT